GCCAGCACATCCACAGGACAGTTTCATCTCCTGGCTACCTCCCCGTGCAAGCGCGGAGCAAAAACGTGGCACTGCTCACAGCTCCCCCAGAGGCTGCTCGCTCAGTGGCTTCTTACGTGTGAACCTGCGGTCGAGTCCATGTGTCCGTGTGAGAAGTGTGACTGGAAGGGTGGTGAGAGGTGGGAGGAGGAAGGCTGCAGCTCTGGCTGAGGCTGGAGAGGAATGCAGGACATGAATAGCTGGGATGGTGCAAGGGGTGACAGACGTGAGCAGTGCTGCAGAGATATTCCTGCTCGGCATGTGCCTGACTCCAGCACTATCAGTTTTTGCTCTGTAGAGTCTAAATATATAATCCATCATGCTCTGGCATCTGGGTGATAAATAGTGATAAATAATGTAGTGGCTGGGGAAGGAGGGAGAAAATGCTCCAGGGTGGAGCTGACCCCTGGGATGTCTGGGGCAGCCACGGGGTAATAAGAGTGAGGAGGGACCAGCTCTCAGGACAGAGGGAGCTTGTTCTCTATCAAGCATTGCAGCTGAGGGTGAGTGGGTGGGTCTTGGGGTTGGTTTCCTCTGTCCCCGCTGAAAGTGGAATAGTTCATTTGTGCTGAGCAGTTGGTCACCTTGACCCAGTGAATATATCACCCTGTCCCTTCACCCACAGGCAGGGCTCTGTGTCCCCGAGCAGTCATCATGCAGCACTGAAAATTGGCTCTGCCTGAAGTTCTCTCTAGGAATTGGACACGGTCCAGGCTGCTGGCGACAGTATGAATGGATGCTAGTGCAGCCAGGGCAGGGTGCGTGTGTGTGTGCATTTGGAAATGAGGAGACAACAACTTGCCTGCCTTGGAAAGGGCTTATGTGGGCACCAAAGGGGATGGGTCCTGGGGGGACACTGCCTGTGTTTGACACTCATCCTGGGCTGCAGGGGTTTTGGGCAGAGGCTGGCACAGAACATGTTGAAGAAGCATTAAGCTAGGAGGATTTTAATCCATCCTCACTGCTCCTTTCCTGCTTTTCCTGCTCCTCCATCTGTGCCAGAAGAATTAACGCACATCCTGGGAGTGGATTAGATTGCTCAAACCATGACCTCCTCATCTGTGCCTTCTGGGGATGGGTAGCCTTTGTCCAGTCCCTTTTCTGTCTCTCCAGTTTGGGCAGGGATCGTGAGTGCCAGCTGCCAGCAAAGGCCTGGCGATGTGCTGCCTCTCACCCCGTGGGACAGCCCTTTGCCGAGCGTGCGTGACACTGGCGCAACCAGTGGGGCTGGCAGGGTGGAGCGAGCCTGCTCCCCGGGTTTGGGGCTTGCAGCACTGTTCATTTGCCTTTTGCTGATGCCTTGTGAGTGTTGGCAAGCCTTGCTGTCCTGTGTTCAGTGGCGGCTCGGGCAGCTGTTGGCACACCAGGGAGAGCAGCCAGGAGCCCAGAGTACCTGTTTCACCGAGCCCCTTGATGGCAGTCTGGGGCAATGGGCCACAGCTCCGCCTCCCATGCTGGCATCCTCTTCGATTGTCTGTGAGTTGGGGACTGACTTGGGTACCCTTCAGAGCTGTTGATGGGATGCCACCTATGAGTATTGCTAATTACTTATAGTCTACTTCTTTTTAATACATAATTTCCCTTGGTTTCAATAACAAAGTAACATTTGTTACTTTGTTCTTTTTCTGTTAGGTTCTTCCCCACCCCCCTAAAAAATTTATTTACTATTTAGTTACTACATTTTTTTAAGCACAATATGTGTCAAGCTGCCTTAGATATAGCCTGGAAACGGAACTCAGTATCACAAATGACTTGTAATGTGTCTTTGTATTAAATAAGAGTGCTTAAAATGTCATTGAGAAGAAAAGAAAATGAGCTTGATAAAGTCTATTTTGCCACTGGATTCAATTTATCAAAGATGGTATTAATTAATTCTGGTGAATTTACATGTTGTTTTGATTGCAGATTCACTGTGGAAAAAGTATTTAGGTGTCCTGTGATATTTAAAATAAAAAGGAGAAATTTACTCTCCAAAGAAAACTAATTTTTTTATTTTTTTTTTTTACTATTGGGAGAAAAAGTTATCAGTGCTCCCTCAGCTATGAAGTCTGATAATGTAGCTGTTTGTGTAATGCAAGAACATGACATTGTGGCACAACTATAAAGCTCAAAGTGATGTTGAAATATTATGTATGTAATTAAAAAGCAACAGTAACATTTGGGAGCCAGCATGTTTAATGTATTTCACTTTCATCTATTAGAAATCTCTGGCATAGGTTGTGATTCTTTCAGATCATTATAAAGAGGTTTAAATTATGTATTTCTTTAGAAATAAGTGAACTGGTGGAAATGTGTCTACTGGAAATACAGTACAGCAGAAAAGTCTCCAGGTTGCTGGAGTGTGCGGAAGAACTTCCTGACACAGTGAGTGAGGGAACCAACTAGGGAAGGCACACACTGGACCTGTCGTTTGTGAACAGAGAAGAACTGGTGGGTGATGGGGTGCCTGGAGGCTGTCTTGTGCACAGTGATCACAAAATGATAAGAGTTTTTGATTCTCACAGAAATAAGGAGGCAGGGTCAGCAGAACTGCTGCCTTGGACTTGCGGAGGGCGGACTTTGGCCTGGTTAGGGAGCTGGCTGACAGACTCCCCTGAGAGGCAGTCCTAAAGGGCAAAGGAGCCCAGGGAAGGCTGGACATTCTTCAAGAAGAAAATTTTAAAGGTGCAGGAGCAGGACCTCCCCCTGTGCTGAAAGACAAGCTAGTGGGGAAGAAGAGTGGCCTGGCTGAACAGGGAGCTCTGGCTCGAACTCAGGGGAAAAAAAGAATGTATCACCTTTGGAAAAAGGGGGAGGCAACTCAGGAGGGCTACAAGGATATTGTGAGGTTATGCAGGGAGAAATCTAGAAGGGTCAAAGCCCAGCTAGAACTTAGTCTGGCTACTGCTGTAAAAGGCAATACATGTGTGTTTACAAAAACATCAGCACCAAAAGAAGGGCTAAGGATAATCTCCATCCTTAATTGAATGCGGGGGGAAAACAGTGACAAAGGATGAGGAAACAGCGGAGGTACTTAATACCTTCTTTTCCTCAGTCTTTAACAGCGAGACCAAATGTTCTCAGGGTACTCAAGCCCCCCTGAGCTGGGAGACAGGGATAAGGAGCAGAATTAAGCCCCCCATAATCCAAGAGGAAATGGTTGGCAACCTGCTACACCACTTAGACACATGCAAGTCCGTGGAGTCAGATGGGATCCACCCAGTGGTACTGAGGGAGCTGGTGGAAGTACTCACCAAGTCACTTTCAGTCCTTTACCTGCAGTCCTGGTCGACCAGGGAGATCCAGTTGACTGGAAGTGAGCAAATGTGACACCCATTTACAAGAATGGCCAGAAGGAGAATCCAGGGAACTACAGGCCTGTCAGCCTGACCTCACTGCCAGGGAAGGTCATGGAGCAGATCAGCTTGAGTGCCATCGCATGGCAAGTACAGGACAGCCAGACAATCAGACTCAGCAGTATGGGTTTAGGAAAGGCAGGTCCTGCTTGACCAACCTGATTTTCTATGACAAGGTGGCATGGTTAATGGATGAAGGAAAGATTGTGGATGTTTTCTACCTGGACTTTAGTAAAGCCTTTGACACTGTTTCCCATAGCATTCTCTGGGAGAAACCAGCTGCTCTGGCCTTGAACAGGTGCACTGTTCCCTGGGTAAAAAACTCTGGATGGCTGGGCCCAGAGAGCGCTGGGGAATGGAGCTACATCCAGCTGTCAGCTGGTCACAAGTGTGTTCACCAAGGCTCAGTACTGGAGCCAGTTCTGTTTAATATCTTTATCAGTTATCTTGACAAGGGGATCGAGGGCACCCTCAGTTCTCAGATGACTAAATTGGGTGGGAATGTTGATGTGGTGGACGGTAGGAAGGCTCTGCAGAGAGATCTGGACAGGCTGGATCAGTGGCCAGTTGTATGAGGTTCAACAAAGCCAAGTTTCTGCTCCTACACTTGGGTCACAACAACCTCACACTGCTCTACAGGCTGGAGGAAGAGTGACTGGAAAGCTGCCTGGTGGGAAGGGACTTGGAGGTGCTGGTTGATAGTGGCTGAACATGAGCCAGCGTGTGCCCAGGTGGCCAAGAAGGCCAATGGCATCCTGGCTTGTGTCAGCAATAGTGTGTCCTGCCAGCAGGACCAGGGAAAGTGATTGTCCCCTTATACTCCACACTGATGAGGTCGCACCTCTAACCCTGTGTTCAGTTTTGGGCCCCTCACTACAGTACACTACAGATGAGTGGCTGGAGTGAGTCCAGAAAAGGGCAACAAAGCTGGTGACAGGTCTGGAGCACAAGTCTAATGAGGAACAGCTGAGGGGGCTCAGCCTGGAGAAAAGGAGGCTCGGTGGGACCTTATTGCTCTCTACAACTACCTGAAAGGAGATAGTAGCCAGGTGGGGATCAGCCTCTTTTCCCAGGTAAGAAGCGACAGGACAAGAGGAAATGGCTTGATGTTGTGCCAGGGGAGATTTAGATTGATATTAGGAAACGTTTCTTCACCGAAAGTGTTGTCAGGCATTTGAACAAGTTGCCCAGGGAAGTGGTGGAGTCACCGTCCCTGAAGTTATTTAAAAGATGTGTAGGTGTGGCACTTGGGGACATGGTTTAGTGGTGAGCTTCGTAGTGCTGGGGTAATGATTGGACTGGATGATCTTCAAGGTCTTTTCCAACCTAAACGATTCCATGGTATGCACCTGAATTTTGGTTTTACTGATTAAATTGTGAATTGAGGGATGAAACAGCTGGATGCACACAGAGAGCCTGTTCTGCCCTAGGGTTCTTTCCAGCCTGCCAGTCATGGCTGTGAGCATAGGAACCTGTGACCTAGCAGTGGGCAGGAGTTGTTGATCCTCTTCTGCTCCATTCCCAAGCCTGGGCTCCCTGTTGTTGGGTGCAGATACCCACCTGGGTAAGTCTCATTTTCCTCTGAAATCCTGGACCAGCTCTGACTGCCTCCTCTCCCCTCTGCAGGGTGGTGAAAGAAGAGATCTCGGATGACAATGCCAAGCTTCCCTGCTTCAACGGCCGGGTGGTGTCGTGGGTAAGCAAGCCCCTTGCTATGGTATCTCTCTGCCTGTGTCTGCCCTCTGAAAACCACCATTTGGATGTGTAGTGCCAAGTAAGGCACAGGGACTGCTCCATACTGTTGGTGTGCTGACTGCTAACACAGCTGATGAGCTGGATTCCCACACTCCAGTCCTTCAACTGCAGAGGGGGCTCTGTGGTGCTGGGTCCCCTGTGCCGGGGAAGATGTGGGATGCCTCTGTTGGAGAGCTCACGATAACTGATGCCTAGCAGAGGTTGTGGTCATGGCCTGTCCACAGCGTAACCCGTGTGCCCCTATGGCAGGGTCAGCTTTCCAAGGAAAGTCCCGCTCCAGTGACTGGTGCAAAGGACTTAAGTGACTTTAGTGCTGGTGAAGCGGACTGGATTTGACTGCCCTGAAGACTAAAGGTACTGCCTGGGCAGCTGCAGGACAAGCTTTTCCCTCTGTGCCGTGCCATGCACATGCTCTGTCCCCTGCCTGCATGTGTCCCTCAGCCCCTAGGGGACCCTCTGTTAGTGGGGGGAGAGGACATTCAGTCTCCACAGCCCATCATCCCGTTTTTCCTCTGCTGAGCTGCAATTTGTGCTGGTGGGGATGTGTGGATCTACACCAAGAGCAGAGCCAAGACCCAAGTACCTTCTTCTGGAGGCCTCCAAATAGCCCCTCAGCAAATCAGGCTAGGTCAGACCTAATTCTGCTTCTATCCCTGCCCCAAACAGCGAGGCTTCAGCTGGGGGGCTGTGAGGAGGAGGTGACAGGGGCAGGCAGGTGCCCACTGCCGGCCTGGCTGCTGCTGGATTCCAGGCAGGGGAGTGCAGGGTCGGCTCCTGCCTGTGCCTTGCACCAGGAGGAAAGGATGTGCTGGGCTCCCACACAAAGAACCGGGCCCGATGCCGGCTGTCCTCCCTCTAGCGGTTATCCAGGCCCTTCGGAAAACAGCCTGTGTCCGGCTCTTGGCCGCCATCCATCCCTCTGCATTCATCCTGCTGTTGCTGCATCTGCACCGAGATGTCTCCCCACCCCACCCTTTCCAGCTGCCTTTTGCTTTTACCTGCCCTATGGGGAGTCCCACAGTCTCTGAACCCTTTCCATTGCTCTTTTTTTACCTGGTGTGCTTTTCCTTGTCCTCCATGCATCCATGCAGCTGCTGGCTTTCCTTGTAGGGTCTCTGTGGTTGCTCAGTGTGACTGACATGGATCTGGTGTGGGTCTGTCTGGTGTGACCACCATGCTGCTGCTCTGCTGGGCTGGATCCTTGCAGGGAACTTGTGCCCAGACTGGCTCTTGTGCACAAAGGGGTGATGTCAGTCCCAGAGACCTTTATGCACAGCTGATGATCCCTTTTTCTATTTCTGCTGAGAGTCTCCTTGTCCATGGGTGGTTTGGGGCCTGGGGGGCAGCACTTGCTTTGCTGCTTCTGACACACAGGCTGAGATGAGGCTATTTTAGGAACGCAATACTAATTTTAGTGACCAGGAAAGATGGGGGCTTGAATCCAAGTGAGTATTTCCTGACAGTGTAAGAGGGAGGAAGAGTGCAGGGTGGTGATCAAAACCTTCCCTGGAGGAAATCCCAGCCTTGGGAGGGTTAGAGGAAGACAGCATCAGTCCTCCCTCAACTTGGGAACACCCCCTCTACTCTCCTTACTGCTGTTTGACAGATACCTGTGACTAGTTCCCTCTGTCCAGATCTATTTGCCTGATCTTGCATTGAGATTTTCAAGAATAAAGTGTTATATGACTTTTCCTTAGGCAATGCTGGCCACTGCCAATATATCTTCTCCCACATGCTCCCGGGCAGTGGCTGCCAGAGCAGGGATGTGGCCCTTAGGGAGTGGGATGTGTCCTGGGAAGACACGTCCCTGGGAAGGTGCCAGGAGCAAAGCCAGGCATGTGCCTGGGGCTTGCTGGAGGGAGGGTGCTGAGCCAGTGTGAGACAAGAGCTAGTTAGACAATTGTGAGATCAGGAGCCGTCGGGCTTGTCCTGGGGCTTGTGTGACGGGCTCTGCAGCTTTTCACACCCCGGGCTGCACTCTGCTATGTCTGCTGCCCTGGCTGTGGCTTTTTCAGGGCTGCTTTGTCTTCCTTGTCCCAGCTACATCCCTGTCTCGATTCCCAGTGCCTCTGTGGCAGTAGACCTCTCTCCCCCTGCCCTAATGATTATCTATGAATTATCTTATCAACCTCTTATCAGGGTTTCCCCAGTTCTTGAAGGTGGGCAGGGCACAGCTCTTTCATCAGTGATGCCGGGAAGCACTGAAGACCTGTGTAAATGGGCTGTGCCTCCTGCACCCAAGTTGACATCTGCTCTTGGCTCCATGCAGATGTGGTTCCCTCTCCAGCAAGCAGCAGTGCTGCCTCTGCATTGACACTGGGCATTATGGTTTGGGCAGCAGCTGTCAGCTCCTTTCCAGCCCATGTTTCATGGTCCTTCTGTCCTGACCCACAGTGGGGCATCCTTCACCTTAGATCTTTTCTGGGCCCTGTCACCTCTGCTCTGGGGGTTCCTGAATGCGTCTTTCAAGGAAGAGGCTTTTTATTGTCCTCTTGGCCAGCCCTATTATGATTAGTCCTGTTCATTACAACTTGAAAGGAGGGGGGAGTGCAAACCTGGATAGGGAGTAATATTGGGAAATTGCTCGTTTGGGCTATCCTCAGTTTCATTCCACTGGCAAGCCTGTGGAAGCTCCACTTCATTCCCTGAGCCCTGAAATTGGTGGTTTATTACAGAGACAGAGGCATATGGGTGTGCCTGGACTGCCCCACAAGCATGGCTGGTATAGAGTTCCTGGGGTTTGACCCTTTCTTGAATTTCTGCACTGGGGAAACTGTTGAGCCCCCCAGAGGTTGGGTGAAGATTGTGCCCAAGCCAATAAGCTGGGCAAAGTTTGTATGGAAGTCAGAAAAAGATCCTGTTTCAGGAATCTATTTCAAAACCAGCCTCAACCCTGAGCTCTGTTATCTGCAGCATCTGAGGACTGGGGAGGTGAAGGTCCTGCTGGTCCCACAGCTTGAAGGCAGGGGTGTAGAGGCTGCTAAAACTGAGGAAAGGAATGACTGGTAGCTGCCTCTTCCAATTGAGAAGAACTGGGGGAATCCACTCCCTGCTACAGGATGTGCGCTAAAGATTACCTGAGTGTGTGGTGTGGGCATGCAGGTGATGTCAGAGTGTCCAAGCAGGGCTGTCAGCCACCTGGGCTTCACTGCTGGGTCAGGAATTCCTGAGCCACAAATAGCCAGTGTCTGGGAAGGCATCGAGAGGGAATGTTGCTACATGCTTGGCCTGTTCCATACCCGCTCCTGGGCACCTGCTGTTGTCTGCCATCAGAGATGAGATCCTGGGCCAGGCAGGCTTTTGGCCAGCTCCTTTGGCCACTGTTGTACATGTTTTCCCAGAGCTGCAGCCGTTTCCTTCTCTGTCTCATCCCTCCAGCTGGTGTCTGCAGAGGGTTCCCACTCAGATGCTGGCTCGGTCTGTGCCGATAACCAGACAGAGCTGCCACCTTCCATGGAGCGCACAGGAGGAATTGGAGACTCCAGGCCCCCCTCTTTCCAGTAAGTTACCTGGACATCTGCCCTAGTTTCCAAGGGACACATAGTGGGTTTGCTGTAATCCTGAGCAGGGGCTGGGATACTCCTACCCAAATTGTCAGGGATTACAGCCAGCAAGGGGGGAGGAGGATGAGGCTGGGAGCAGATTGGAAGTGGAGCTGCATTATTCAACAAGCAAGGACATGCCAAAAATAGTGCAGGGAAGCTGGCAAAGAGCTGGCACAGTATGCCCAGTCCTTTGCCCTGCACTCATAGATGTGCTGTGGTTGTTCCTATCCCTCAGGAAGGAGACAGCTGATGGCTGGAAGCTTGTGCTGGGCAGCACAGAGGTGTCGAGAGAGCCTGCTCAAGTTGTTCCCTGTTGAGCATATTTGTTCCTTTTATCTCATTACAGCCCTAACACCGGGGGGAGTCGGGAAAACTTGGACAATGAGACAGAAACAGACTCAGTGGTGTCCTCACAAAGGGAACGACCTCGTCGGACAGATGGGCCTGAGCATGGTGAGTGTTGGTAACATGGCAAGAGCTCTGCAGGGCATGGCTGGGGCATGGTGCGGGCACCAGCTCCAGACTTGGGGCAGCTTTCTCTGCTTTGCAGAACCTTACCATCTTAGAAGGGCTGTTTTATGGCCCTTAGAAGAGCTGTAGCCTCACAGTGGAGGCAGGAGCTAACACCTATGTTGCATCAGAACTTTGAGGTCAAAGGAGATGTCTCCTATAGAAGCCTCAAGCAGAGACAGTAGTGCCTCAGTCCTTTGTAGTTGAAAAGCAGAGTGTGCTGTAGCCTGGCCACTCCATGCTGCTTCTTGCTTTACCAAGGAAACAACTGCAAGTCTTCCACAAGTTTGGCAGCATTGTTCCTAGTGGCCCATCAGCCTCTTCCCCATCTGATAGTGATAAAAGTATCCCACAGAAGATGGATCTGATCCAAGGATAGACTAGGAGCTGGATGGCACTAGATGGGATTGTCTGATAGCAAGATTTGTTCTGAGAAGGCTGCCATGAGCCCCGCATAGGGGAAGGGGTTGTGTCAAGCACACTGAGTCCTGTCTTTTCATAGCACCCAGGGTGAATGGGACCGTGAAGGGAGAGCGGCGCCGAGACCTGGGTGGGTACGAGAGCTCCTCCACACTCATGAGCAGTGAGCTGGAGACCACCAGCTTCTTCGATTCAGATGAAGATGACTCCACCAGCAGGTAGGAGAGCTTAGGTCCTGGAGAAACGCTAACTTCCCCCTTCCTCCCAGCCCAGAGAGATGCCATTGCAGGGCACAGTAGTCCTGGGCTCAGACCTGCCTCTCTCTCACCCAGCAGCCGTCTCTACTATTGTCTGTCCCCCGTGTGCATGTTCTCCCCTCTGCCTTGCAGTCCTCCATTCCTTGTGCTATTTCCATGGCTCTCTTGCTGCCAGAGTCACCACCCTGGCAGCAAGAGAGCTGACTCTTGCTTTTGCTTGCAGGTTTAGCAGTTCAACAGAGCAAAGCAGTGCTTCCCGTCTCATGAGGAGGCACAAGCGGCGCCGGCGGAAACAGAAGGCTCCACGCATCGAGCGGGTATGCAGGGAGGGGCCGGGGATCCTGGGGAGGGCAGTGCAGGGCAAGGTGGGCTGCCTGGTGGATCCCTCTCAGGGATTCAGCTGTGTTTGTTGTGGTCACAGCTTGTGTCCAAGTGCTGAGACTTCATAAAGTGCTGTAAACATTTTCTGGGCCAATGTAGCCTCAAGAGTTGGGAGCACAGGCCTTGTCCTGGCTGTGGAGAGGTCACAAGGACCATGGCTGATGTTCTCTGTCTCTGCAAAACTCCCAGCATAAGAGTGGAGTTGTGGGTGGGGGCTGTGGTGCCACAGGGAGTGGCAGAGAGGAAAGACAAGTGGAGGAAGCTGGGGCTGGGAAAGTTGCTGAGGCACAGGAGGACATCTCATGTTTCACTTACGTTGCAGTCATCGTCCTTCAGCAGCATAACAGACTCCACCATGTCCCTGAACATCATCACAGTCACGCTGAATATGGGTGAGTGGGAAGTGTGCATGGAGCCTACAGTCCTTCCAGAGCGGGATTGGGTGGTGGAGAGGGGACTGGGGAGGGGGCAAAGAGAACACATGGGGGAGGAGTGAAGAGATGAATTCTGTAGAAAAGTGGCTTGTATTTAAGCACTGATCTCTCAAGAGTTTCTCTATGTCCTGGGACATCTCTCTGGGACAGGGGTGCAAGCCACCATAGTTAGTTAGTACATGGTTTGTCTGAGGTTAGGTCTAGTTGTGCCTGCTGCTTTGTGGTGTCTTACTGCTTTCTTTTTCCGTCCCTGCAGAGAAATACAACTTTCTGGGCATTTCTATTGTGGGACAGAGCAATGAGCGTGGCGATGGAGGCATTTACATTGGCTCTATCATGAAGGGTGGTGCTGTGGCAGCTGATGGCAGGATTGAGCCGGGGGACATGCTCTTGCAGGTACTTCACACCCACATATCTTCATCTTTGGGCCTGGGAAAGCAGAAAGAAAAGACCCAGAAGCCTCCCTGCAAATTTTGGCAGGCTAAATCCAGGAAGCTGTGCTTGGAAGAGGGAAGCTGAGTCACTGCTGAGCTGAGTGGGGAGCTCAACCTCTGGTCACATCTCTGAGACTCACTTCTTTGTGTTGTTTGCAGGTAAATGACATCAACTTTGAGAACATGAGCAACGATGATGCTGTGCGGGTGCTGAGGGAGATTGTGCACAAGCCAGGGTAAGTACTTGGGTTGTTCCTTACCTCCAGGGACAGCTGTACAGTGTGTGCTTGGGGTGTGTGAGTTATGTCTTCAGCCACCTCTGCCAGTGGCTCTGCAGAAGCTCAGAACTTAGGTTTTTGGTGTTGCTTTGATTCCTGGGTTTTCATGCCCAAAGCAAGAATTGCGGCCAACAGAATGGCAGGGAATTGGGGGCTGTGCCCCTTTCTTTGTGGGGATGTCAGGTCCCTGCTGATTGCAGGGCAGTTGGAATAGATGACATTTAAAGGTCCTTTCCAACACAAACTGTTCTTTGATTCTCTGTTCTATTTGGGTCACCAGCAACCCTCAGCCAGGGTCATGTCATTTTGTTCATGTCACCAAGGAAACCTATAGCTGGATTGGAACAAGGACACTTTACTGCCGGCTTCTCCCTGTCTTCCAGGAGAGAGCCAGCCCACAGGATCCATCCGTCATGCAGGGGTTTGTGTCACCAGGCTCTGGTTCTAACTCTCACCTTTTTGTTGCAGGCCCATCACCCTGACGGTGGCTAAGTGCTGGGACCCCAGCCCGCGGGGCTGCTTCTCGTTACCCAGGAGTAAGTGGATAGCTGACCCACCCTTAACGCTGGTGCCCAGCTCATGTGAGAGCCCTGCCTTAAGCACTTACTTGGATGTTGTCTTGTTCTTCCCCTGTGTGTTTGACTCCACGTGGCACTGAATTGGGGTTTGATGGGGTACAGCTCTCCTTTTAGGAGGCTGCTATGTCCTATTCCCAGACCAAAATGCCCATAAGCCCAGCCCTCCTTCCCACATCACGCTGGGGACGCGTTTCACTGGGGCAGGGGGGTCACTTGCTCGGGGCGCCAGAGGAAAGAGAAACCCCCCCTTGAGCCATAGGGGGATCTCTCCCTCTGCACCTCTCCTGCTGACCCTCCCTCTCTTCTTTCTCTCCCAGTTGCTCCCCAGCGGATCTGGGCTGGGCCAGACTCTCCATGCTCCGATCCGGGTGAGTCCCGGCAGATACTGGGGATGGAATGGGCTGTGCTGAGTCCCTGTCCCTCCCCAGAGGTTGTTTTGATGATGTGATCATTTTTTCCAGCTACTAACTGACTCTTTCTTTTTGGTAGGTGAGCCCATCCGGCCCATCGACCCGGCAGCCTGGGTGTCTCACACGGCAGCGATGACTGGCACCTACCCAGCGTACGGTATGAGTCCATCCATGAGCACAATCACTTCCACCAGCTCCTCCATCACCAGCTCCATCCCAGAGACCGAACGTAAGTCCTTGTGCCTCCGTGCTCTGCCCACTGCACAGCCTCTTCACCTTCACTGTGCTGTGAAGGGAGCAATACATCTGCCTGGGGATAGCTGGGGTGGGCAAAGTCTGCCCTGCCAAGGGACTGAGAAGGAGACAGCTCTTGACAGGCTGGCACTTGGATCAGTGGGAGTTCTGCCTGGGTGAAATAATACCATGTTTTTCAGCTTTTATGTGAGGAGAGTAGAGGAGCCTGGGTGCAATTAGGAGCTGTGGCAGATGCAGAGGAAAGGCTCAGACCAGTCAGGGTTAGCATTTGAGAATGCGGGGCCAGAGGGATTCAACATGTCCCTGGAGCAATTGCCCTCCCAAACAGCAGATAGGGCAGGATGGAAGAGGCAGCTGGGAGCAAAGAGCCTTGCAGTGGGGCAGGGTCTTGCTGAGCACAGGGCTCTTTTGGTTGCTTTCTGGAGGTTTTGGATAATTCTGGTATAGAGAGCCCTGAAGCAAGGGTCTGGAAAGCTCAGGTGAGGCAAAAAGCCAGGAGTTTGTTGTAAGTTTGTGACTCTTGCCTGGGTTTTTCCCAAGAGGAAATGGCTGACGTGACAGATAACATGAGAAGGGGGCTTACACAGCATATGCCCCAAGGCTGTCTGCGATGTATTGTTCCCTGGCCCATTCCTCCCGTGTGTGATGCTTCCATGTGTCTCCTTTGTCTTTTCTGTCCTCTCTCACCTCTGCCTCCCTTCCTTCATCCACACCACAGGCCTCGATGACTTTCACCTGTCCATCCACAGTGACATGGCCACCATTGTCAAAGCCATGGCCTCACCAGAGTCAGGCCTCGAGGTGCGTGACCGCATGTGGCTGAAGATCACCATCCCCAACGCCTTCATTGGTAAGAGACTGTGCTGCCTACAGCAGAGGCAGGGATTGGGGACTGGGGGGCCTGTTTTCCAAGCAGATGTCCAAGGGAGCATCTCTGTCACCATAAACTGTTGACCAAGCCAGAGTCACATATTGGACCCTTGGCTGTGTGACCCCTTTTCACCTTTGGCCCACTTTTTCTTGGCTCTAGTGTGGCTCACTGCCTCGAGAGCCACTGTCTTCCACTCTTTTGCCGTATCTAACTCTATGTTTGGTGGCAGGTTCAGATGTGGTGGATTGGCTCTATCACCATGTGGAGGGCTTTACAGACCGCCGTGAATCCCGCAAATATGCCAGCAATCTGCTGAAGGCTGGCTACATCCGACACACCGTGAACAAGATCACCTTCTCAGAGCAGTGCTATTACATCTTCGGGGACCTCTGTGGAAGTATGGCCCTTGGCATGGGTGGGAGGGAGAGGATGGAGGGTTAGAGGTCCTGCAGAGCCCTGATGACACTGTGGGGACACAGCTACAGCCATTGGCAGCAGGCTGGGACCCTTGTTCTACAGACCTGGTTAAGAGAGCAATAAAAAATATCCCAGCTCCTTTGTCATGCTGCTGGGGTAGTGAAGTTGGAAGCAGCATTGACAGTGTCACCTACTGTGTGATTTTTGCTCCTGGGCAGCCCTAGCAGAGTCTTAGTCTTTATTAACTGTCTCCAGGCTCTGAACTTCCAGTGCTGGCAAGGGGTTGGTGCTCAGGCAACTGGGTTCTACGCAAAAAAGAGGGATGGGGAAAGGAATTGGCAGGGTGAGCCTGTAGCTCTGGTGTGGTTCTTTCCCACCAAGCTGGTCCCTGTATTAGAGTGGCAGCTTGGACTCAGGCAGCCTGGCTGTTGTCCAGCCAGGAAGCACAAATGGTGGTACTGACTAGCAAGGAGAGTGCCAAGTTCTTGTGTCTCTTTGCATATCCTGTCCTTGTCCATCAGCAAAGACTGGATGGGGAGCTGCTTCATCACACGTGGTTGTCTTTCTGCTTGGATTAACCCCTGTTCTCTGCTTTCTTGCAGACATGGCTAATCTGTCTCTTCACGATCATGATGGCTCCAGCGGTGCCTCCGATCAGGACACTTTGGCTCCGCTCCCCCATCCAGGAGCCGCACCCTGGCCTATGGCTTTCCCGTATCAGTATCCACCGCCTCATCCATACAACCCCCATCCCGGCTTCCCTGACCCAGGCTACAGCTACGGAGGGGGCAGTGCAGGCAGCCAGCACAGTGAAGGTGAGTAAAAATGACTAAAATATACCTGAGGGTGGGCAGGTGCCCTGTTCAGTACTGGGAAGCAGCGGGAAAAGGCTGCTTAAGTGAGGTCCTATGTGAGGGGAGCCAGGGTAAAAGCCATCTCAGAAGGGTCGTGGGACTTGGAGTTGAAAAGAGACTGAGAGCACAGACTGTGCTGGCAGATGGCTGTGCCGGAGCGTGCTGTAGTTCTCTCTTGGCCAGAGGAGCATCTGCTCTTCCTGACTTGTCTGAGCTGCCACCTAACCTTGTCTCGTGCGCTTTGCAGGGAGCCGGAGCAGTGGTTCCAATCGCAGTGGCAGCGAGAGGAGGAAGGAGAGAGAGAAGACCGGGGAGTCGAAGTCAGGTGGCAGTGGGAGCGAGTCAGACCACACCACGAGGAGCAGCATGAGGCGTGAGCGCGCGGCCAGCGAGCGCTCGGTGCCGGCCAGCCAGCACAGCCAGCGCAGCCAGCACTCCCTGGCTCACAGCATCCGCAGCCACCACAGCCAGCAGTCCTACGGGCCGCCCGGCCTCCCCCCTCTCTTCAGCCCCCCCATGTTGCTGATGCCTCCACCACCTTCAGCCATGGGGCCCCCCGGGGCACCGCCGGGCCGTGACCTGGCCTCTGTGCCCCCTGAACTGACAGCCAGTAGACAGTCCTTCCGAATGGCCATGGGCAACCCCAGTGAGTTCTTTGTGGATGTAATGTGAAGCGCCCATCCCCTGTCTGTCTGCTGCCCCTCCTTCCCCCCCTCTGTCCCTGTCGTTTGTTTCCTAGGACCAGCCCTGGCTTCGCCCCTTTTTTTTTGATTTTGTTTTGTTGGGTTTTTTTGTTTTGTTTTTCTTTTTTGTTTTGTTCTTTTTTTTTTGTCTTGATAATGAAAAGAAAAAAAAGGGAAAAAAATAATAAATGGAACTAAACCTTGATTCTAATCCCTCCTCGAGTGGGGTGGACAGGCCTGGCAGGCCTGCTGGGTGCTGCCAGCCCATCCCGCCACCAGACTTGTGTATTGCCAATGGTAATTCCCTTCTGCCATCCTCTCTAACCCCATTAATCCGCATCCGTCCCAGCGCCCTGTGCTGCTTGCCCGTGTGTCGCTGCTGCCTCGGTCCTTCCGCCCTAAATATCTCTTCTTTCTTTTCACCCTTTTGTGTTTCTTCTATCAAGCAGCAAAGAATTACGGGGTGTTTGACTTTCTCTGAGCCTGCCGCCCGTGGGGGGGAGAGCTGGAGCGTGGCGTGGCCCGACAGCAGGACACGGAGCTCCAGGGGCGCTGGGCACGCATGGCGCTGAAGATGGCTTCTTTCCTCCCCCTCGCGGAAGATGCCCTGCCCTTCCCACAGCCCTGAGAGGGGAGCAGGGACCAGCCTTATATATGTATTTTAAATCCCGTTGTAGTTGCCTTTTGGCTAATGCATGAATGTTCCAGGGCTTCAGTGCCTCCAGGGAGTGGAGAGATGCTGCCACTTCCCTCTTGCTTCCCTTCTCTTGCCCACATATTGGGCCAGGTCCAAGCCTGACATTACGCCATGGCAGGACCCTCCTTCTCCTTGCCCAGGCCATAAGGCTCAGGGCTGGGGCTGTACCTCTGTGTCCAGCCCGGAGCGGTGGTGAGTGTCTGTGCACAGTCTCTTACGTGACTCAGTGCCCTACACCTGCCCTTGGGTACTTTGGGGGCATTTAAGGGCAGAGCTCTGCTCCCTCCATCCTGCTCTTTGTCCTGCCTGCAATGTGCTGCTGCCTGTCCCGTTTGTAGGGGCTGTCCCATGCCTGGGGCTGGCGGTGGCAGCTGTGGCCTTCTCCCTCCTGCTGTCGTGCTGCTGCTCAGCAATGTGATACCTTCAAGGGCCTGGACGGACTTAGAAGGCAAGGAAGGGGCACAACTGGTTTGCTTTCATGCTTTGGGGAAACGTAGAGGTCCCCTGTATTTGCCCTACGAAGGGCCTGAGTCTGCCTCCCCCTCTGCCCAGTGCCATGAGTGCTGCTGGCCTGGCTGCCAGGAGGGACAAGGCTCTGGGACAGCCCTGTTCCCTCTGGGCTGTGAGTGGTGCCTGGTGGCAACAGAAGCTCTCTGGGAAGGGAGACTGGCCTGAACTGTGGCCTCTGGGCTCAGTGCCCACAGATCTACCAGGACAGTTGAGTCTTTGCTCCAGCGTTCCCTGCCCTTCTTCTTTCCTCTTCTGGGTACTCAGAGATGTGCCTCGGGCTGGGGCAGCCCCTTCCCCATGCCCAGGGCCAAGCACGGTACAGTATGGACATGCTCGACCCTGCTGCTGTTGGTGCTGGCGCCTCGGCGCCCTCTCCTTCTGCCACACCGTGGCTTTCACCAGGCAAGCTTTGCCTCCTTTGGTCTTTCTTGTGTTTGCGATTTTTATATGATGGAGATGAAATGTATTTTGCTCCCTCGGGGGTCTGCGTTCCCCCTGCAGCCCCTCTGCCAGATCTTACACGCCATCCGTTCATCTCCCTGACTCCTTGAAGCCTCTCCTTCCCCTCTGCCCGCTGGAGTCAGCCTGTCCCCAGCAGTCTCCCTGGCCACTGCTCACCCCTCGCCCTGCCCTACCCACTGGGTTTTATAAAAACAACACCAATCTCCTTGTTTTTATTTATAAACATAGTTTTATTGGACTCCTGTCTTGTGTCGTTCGTTGTTTCCCCCCCCCCAGCCTCTTCGGCCCTCCTGCATTTTGGTCTAAAGCGAGATCCCGGCGGGATGAGGGTACTCTGTGCCGGTGTTCCAGCTGCCTCTTGCCGGGGTGCCGAGGGCGGCTGCGGTCTGAGCCGGCGCCGGGCCCGGCCTCCTACTTCCTCCACCCCGCGCAGCGGATCCTGCCCGCGGGCGCTCGGGGCTCCCGGGGTCCCCGTTTCCAGCGGGAGCACTGCAGGGAGAATCAGGGGCTGGTTCCACCGCGGCCGCAGCGCTGCGAGGGCGGAGGTGGGGATGCCTGGGTGCGGGGCCGACAGGAACTACCAGCTCCGTGGAAGGGCATGGCGACCTCAGGCCTGTGCATGGGGGGGCGCAGCTTCCTGCCCGTGCGCTCCCTCTGCCCATCCCCTGGCTGAGCGCAGCCACCATGCTGTCCCTCCCCCGCGACCGGACTACAACTCCCGGCATGCCCCGCGTGCGCACACGACCTTCCCGTCCCCGTCGCGCGGCCCCCCCCGCGGCGGCGCATGCGCGGTGGGGGGGCGCGGGCGGGGCGCGCGCGCGGCAGCTCTGCAGTGCGCGGGGGGGGCGCGGGACGAGGGGGGGCGGCGCCGCCATCTTGGGCGCGGGGCGGCAGCGGCGGCGGTGGCGGCAGGTGAGGAGACCCCGGGCCCCGCTCCGCTCTCCGCGCAGGGCTGCGCGGTCCCCGGCCCTTCGCCGGGCAGCTGCCTGCGGCCGGGCTCCCTCTGCCGCGAGCGGCCGGGCGGTGGCCGAGCCGCCGCGGGTGGCGGCTCCGTGGGCGCTGGCCGAGGGTGGGGGTCCGCGGGCCTTCCCCGGGGCGGGGGGTGGCTGCAGGGCGAGGTCTCCGCCGGCTACCCGTGGGGACGGGAGCGGGAGCGAGTCTGCAGTCGGGAGGGAAGGTGGGAAGCGGGGCTCCCCCGAGAGGGCTTTTCCTTTGCCCTCTCTGAGGGGGTGCTGGGCGACCCCACTGTCGCACATTGCTTGGGGCTGAGGGGGCTTATTAACTGCTTCTGTTAATGAGCTCTCCGCCGGGAATACCTGTGTGGCAGTCCTGCGGTGCTGCACCGGGTGAGGGTGGGGACGGAGTCGGGCTGTGTGTGGCACAGGAAGGCCGGCACCGATGTGTCAGGTCAGCTTGAGCAAAGGTTTTTTCAGTCAGATCTGGCCGGAACTTTACCGAAAATTATTTGCCTGTACTGCTGATCCAAACGTGAATTAGCTGGGTCATGGCTTGCACCCTTTTCATCCCTGGAAAACCTGCTGAGGCAAAACGCAGCGCCGCTGATGCTGAACTGCTTGTTCTGAGGCTTAAAGCAGGCTCCCGTCCAACAGCTCTCCTAGATGGGTTTCGACTTCCATTCTTCCCTGGGCTAGGTTTTTGGATTTGGGAAAGCTGCAGGAAGCACAGCCTGTGTTTATTGCCCAGTGCAGTTAACCTCTCTCCCCAATGGGAAATGACTGGGTTTTGATCTAGTCTTGTCTCCAAAAGGTGTGTGAGTCCATGATCTGTTTTCTGCTTGCTTTAGTATGACAAAGCTGCTATCAAGTTTTAGCCTCAGGCTGCCAAAATCTGAGCCTGGAACTTTCCCAGATAGGTGAGTCTGGATGGCTTCTGTGGCTCAGAAGTCTAGGTATTGCAGGCTTCTAACTGTATATGGGCTCATGTGGTGTCTGATTGTGCAACGTTTGCTTGAATGCTGTCAGAGCTGTAGCTAGTCTTTTTTTCCTACAGTAAAAACTGCGTGTGTTCCTGTGAGTTTTGCTTGGAGGGACAATCTCAAATTTGAAGAGATGCTGCCAGTCTGTCTACTTCCATATTTTTCCTGTCAGAAGACAGGCATCTCTCCTCTTCTGTAGGAAATGCCATCTTACTGACATCTAGTGACAAAGATACCTGGTGTTCTTTGGGCTGCAGAGTGGCCATGTTCCAGGGAGAGGATTGGAGATGCCTTTGAAGGGTATCATGGCCGGCTCTTCCTCCTGAGTGAGAGCACAGTTCTGGTCCTTGGAGAGTTGAGTCTTGAGGCTCTGCAGGGTTACATCTTGAGTTCTTTCAAACAAGAGAGGACTGGAAATGCACTCCAGTTTGATACTATCTCTGTTGGTTTTGTTGTAGGTTTGTTTTCTTTTTGGTGGAGCAGGAACAATCACTAAACAAAATGGGCTTTGTAAAGAAACTTCCTGTGACCCTTAATTAAACTTTTCTTGTCTCATCCCTGCATCAAAAAGTAGTAAAGCCAAGACTATCTTTGGCAGCACAATATCTTGCACTGGTGTTCTAAGTTTATACTGCTGAAGACCATTAGAGTATTTAAAGGCTGTTCTTAGGGTTGACTGGAGAATGGAGAAAAATGCAGCCTCTGGTGCCAAAATATAATTGGTCTGAAAGGCCAGAGTCAGCTTCTCGCCTTTAGTGAGTGACCTATGGAGTCAAAAGTTACTGGCAAGTCACGTATTATTTTGATCTTGGTGGGAGGTTGGCAGCTCAGCTAAAAGCTTGCAGACAGAGGCACAGAATGTGAAATGTAGTTATCTGCTCTCCAGTAACAGTAGAGAGAGAAACACTGGCAAGTCAGGGCACCTAGACCATTAGCGGTCTGCAGAATACAAGCTCTTACTCAAACTGCACTCTGTGCCTCTACCCTCTTCTGTCAGAAGAAGAATAGAAAGCAAGTCACTGTTCAGGTTTCTAGCTCAGGAGTGAAAAGCAAGTAGAATTTGCTTCAGACTGACTTTAGAAGTGGTAGAAGGCATTGGGGCCATTCAGATAAGGTTGTGATCAAAATAAGGTGGAGAGGTGTGTTAATGCTGTTCCTGTGATGTTTTAGCACAGTAAAGGAGCTTCTCTTGTTTCCCCATGTCAGTATTTATTTCTTGTTACTGTTCAGACTGGCTGTGTGCTGCATGGCACGCAGAAGGAGGCTGTAGGAGGAGAGCCTGGTAAGAGAACGTGCTTCTCTTCTTGCCCACTGGCTATGGGGATTTATGGGATTGGGTTTAAAATAGGGACAGTTTCTCTGAAACTGATGGGTTTATCTCAGGAGCTCTTTAGCTCAGGGTATGCCCCTTAAGTAAATTATGCAGCCTGTCTTTCCCAGGATGAAGTGATTGCAACTACTCTTGTTTAAAACCAAGTGCAGCCCTTGGCCTCCGGGAAAGTGACTAATGCAGCCCTCTAAGCAAAGCTTAGGTGCTTGGATTAGCTGGTGGGGTGATGGCATCGTTATGAGCCTTAAGCCTTTTGGGTTGATATTGGCT